GCTCCGGACACGCAGGCTGAGCGGCCATGGCTCACGGGCCCAGCCACTCCGCGGCACGCGGGACCCTCCCGGACCGGGGCACGAACCCGCGCCCCCCACATCGGCAGGCAGACTCCCGACCACTGCGCCACCAGGGAAGCCCTTTACTTTCTTTTTAATAAGGACAGATCTACCCCAGTCTGACTGGGGTGGATGCCAAAGGTAGTCAGATGACTAAATCAAACAACTCTTACTCATGTAAGCGTCCTTCGGAGCCAATAGGAAATTTCCAAGTCTAATTTTTGGAAGACAGAGAAATTGGGTAGTCTCCCGCATATATCAGATAACTGTGTAATATTCTCTTCGTTGGGGGCTTTCTAACCTGGCCTAAGGGAGCTGCTCCACGTTTCCACCTTTTTCACATGAGAACAGCATTTCTCTTGCACTTTACAGCAATCAAATGTCCCAATACCTCAACTCAAGCCAAAGAAAAAGGGTACAGCAAGAAAATAGCGTTCCCGTGACAGAAGGCACATTTTTGCTCTATGCAGTAAGACCAGGAATCAAGTATAAAGACAAGGATTATCTCCTTGGACTTTTTTCCATAACTTTTCTTTATGTAGCTTAAAATACGCCTTGCATTTGACTTTGGCCCAACTCTTGTTAGTGGCTGAGGCTTGAAATGACAAACATGTTGTTACAGAGGCCCTGACTTTGTACAATGGCTACTTTCTCCTTCCACGGAGAAGCAGAAAGGAATCTGACTCAAGATAATATTCCCACACTCACAAGAATGCAATCACTGGTTAGGGGTCAGCGTTTGGATTTGGTTCACTGTCTTATACACACACACACAAACACACACACACAGACAGACAGACACACACCGCCTCTACCCTTCTCAGTCTCTAGCCCTTTACGCTGCTTTGTTTGTCTTCGTGGCATTTGCCGTACCTGCCATGGTACGCTCCCTCAGTGGGTATCATTCGCATCAATGAGAAATGGGAGCAGCCTGGCAGGAAGGGCAGAGAGGGCAGGCGTGTCCTGCGGGGAGCAGAGAGGAAAGGAATAGAGAAAAGCTGGCTTGCTTTTCTGTCCTCTGCGAAGGCAGTGCTGCCTACAAGTTGAGTGGTCAGACTAGAGCCGCTTGGATCTGGTTCAAGTATTAGCTCAGCTGTTCATTAGCATCTTACCTTGGGGAAACCTCTGAGCCTTGGTTTTCTCATCTTTAAAATGGGGATCATGTAATATTGATATTATCTACAAAACAGGCTTGTGGTGAAGGTTGAATGAGATATTGCACTGAAATGCTCAGTCTGGTGCCTGAGGTGGGCGTACTGAATGCTCGATAAATGTTTGAACCGTCAGTGGCTCTCAGCCCTTCTCTTCTGGGGTCACAGGCCTCTGTGAGAATCCATCCCCAGACCGTTGCACAAAATCTTGAATCTAGTTTCAGGGGTCGACAGCTGTCTGGAGGCCCATCCGTGGCCCTGAGGGCGGAAGCCCCTCCTGTCACCCTCACTCCGTCTTCTCCTGCCCCAGTCCTCAAGCCAGCTCCCTGAGCAACCTTGCTGCACATTGGATGTCGTGCTTGAGTGGGGAGAAGCTGTCCCCGCCTTGTCCCCTCCTGGGCCGAAGGCCTCCCTCCTCCCACACTTGCCCCCTTCCCGGGGCTGAGGCCACAGCCTTTAGCAGCCCCCCAGGGAGCTGTTCTGTAGCCCCCTCTTGGCTGTCAGCCTTGGTGGAGGGGCTTTAACAGGACTACAAAGACGCATCGACTTGTTCCGTAATAGCAGGGCAGCTCTGCCACCTGCCTTAATCCCTCAGTCTCTCTGAGCCTTGGCTCCTTCTTCTGTAAACTGGGGTACTCAGACCTGCCCCTGAAGGTTCAGTGAGATGCTGAATGTCAGCCCCTTTGCATGGAGCCAGGCACAGGGTGAGTGTGAGCGCCAGCTGCGGTCACCACCATCATTACCGATGTCCTTCCTACGGTACAGACGTGAGGGTAAGAAGGGGAGACCAGTAGGACTTCAATAAGCCAGAACAAAACATTCTTAGCTTTTGCATCCTGGTAGAAGAGCCCTGTTCAACGGCTTCATATTTTACGTATTTCTTTTTAAAGGATGCTCTAAGGGACGCAAAGAAGAGACTTTTAAGAAATACAGAGCCGAGGTTGTCCTGCTGTTGGCTCTGGTCATTTTCTACGTGGCACTCATCATTTTCACTTGCGTAAGTATCTTTCTTAAACATCTCTCATTATTAAAAGATCACCTGGGTTACCAATTGACTGTGTTTTGTAGACAGTGTGAGTCATTTCATAATGGCAAGAGACCTATTCGCAGAACCCTGGCCTTACAGAGGCCCCCAGACTGTGAGAATCTCTCTGGGAAGCTCCCAGCTTGTTTTCCACCTGGTGGCTCCACACAGAGCCTTGTGAAGAGAAAATGAAGTAAGATAGTGGTGGAAGTTTGTGAAATGCCAAAGGATCCTCCTAAAGCACCAGCAGGCCTTGTAGGTACGGTGGAAGAAAGTTGGACCCTGCCCATCCACCATCCAGGCGAGGTGCTGTTCTTTCTGTAGGCAGGTGAGCAAGCCTGGCCACCCTGGTGATGGATCCATCTCCTTGGTTGGCCCTTGAACTCTTTTCTCTTAGAGATTTTCCCTCTTATAACTTTGGTACTTCCGCCACTTTTTTCTTTTTTTGCTATTTCTGGTTTCTATTTTAGATATCACTTTTTAAGAATTAATCCTGAGAAGCCAGAGGTACACAGGGTGTGGCCTGGGGTAGAGGACTGCTGGCCGGTACTTGGGTGTCCTTGACATGCCCTTGGCTTATTGGTTGCAGACTCCAGACTAGACTCCTCCCTGCCCCCCAAGCCTCTTTGTGCATGGCTGGTCACCTGGGTACAGTGGTCATAGGGGAGCAGGGCCAGCTCTGGGCCTGACCCACTAGGAAGTGATCTGTCCCCTATGTCTCAGCATATCAGGAAGTGCTGGTTGTTTGGGAACCAGGACATCGGTCACCCAGGAGCTATTCCAGCGCTGGTTCTAGTCACTCACTGGCCCCATCTGTTCACTTGCTTGACGCTGGCCGAACACTCATCTCTCTGGTTTGCTATTTTAAACGTCAGTCCATCAGAAGACTCCACTGAGCACCTACTGTGTTTAAGGCATTATGCTAGGCCCTGGGGGGCATGTAAAAACGCATAAGAACTACGTCCTTCCCCCAGGGAACTTACAGCTTGGTCTTTAGAGTTATTTGCATATAAGAAGATAATTAGCATTACCTGGCGGTAAATTTTAAAAATGAGTGACTCTAGTTTTTTGTTGGCAAATGCCTGTTTCTTTGGGCACTGATTTTCCATGCAGGAAATCCTAGTGTTAGGGTCTGGAAATGGCCCCAGTCTGTAACTCCTGGTTGAGGTTTGGAGATACCGGCGAAATAGCACAAGCCCACTGTAGAGTGAGTGACGTAGCCCGCATCACGAGGGCTCCCTCATGAGCTGTCCAGTCAGCTCCTAATGAATGGAGTTTAAATCCAGGTGACAGCTGAAGCATTTTTCCAATTATTCACTTCTCAACGTATCTCTTTGATTTTATTTTTCAGAAGTTTGCACGACAGCAGAGTATTTTTCCAGACTTTCTTAAACCTGCCATGGAACATGCTTTTCTCCCAGTTACCTCCCCAAATAAGCATTTGGAGCCAGTGACTTCACAAGACAGAACTGGTGTGAGCAGGATTTCTGCAGATTGTTTTTCCAAGGTTGAAGGCTCCGTGGTGTGCGTCCACGTCACACCGAACAGAGGCCTGAGCCCCACACTGAACACACCATCCTTCCTGTGAAGCTCTTCACTTGACTGAAACATCCAAAAGTGGATCCCACCCCACTTGTGAGCAGGGCCTTGAAAATTGTGACATGACCACAAAGCACGGGGCCGCCTACAGGGTGCTTTTCAGTGCTGCTTCTTTATGACCTTCTTAGCGTTTTATTCAGCTATCTGGTCAACCTCTTGGACAGGTTTTTTTTCAGTCTTAGAAAAGCTATGGTGAGATGCAGTTGGAAAAGGACCTTGGGATATATGAATGCCTGGAGTTGGCCCTGTGTAGACCCTTGAGGGCAGCTGTCCTCTTCCACATCTGGAACACATCTCTAAATTTGCTGTGTTTTCTTGTCTAAGCCCAGATGTTTTATGTCTGGGAGAGAGTGACAGGCTAAGCTGAGAGACAGAGGGAAATATTTAGCAAATAGTTTCCCGGCATGAAGGCCCTGCTATTACCAAGGAGTATGATGTGTACGCAGAAATAACAGGTCGATGAGCTGTCCCCAACAGGGCCTTTTTATCTGGGAAAGACATCCATAAAGAAGCAATAGAGAAGAATGTCACAATTATTTTTATATCTGTGTATACTTGTCAAAGAAGGATTTGTGCTGCTCCTCCTTTTGAAATCTGTATCTTCAGTTCGATATTGTTGTTAACTGACAAGCAACCTGTATATGGAGGGCGAGAAGAAGTCGGAAACTGTGACAATAGGAGGGAGAGCTATTTAGGGACCTGATGAAAATGCTGGACCAATTGTGCAAACTGGATGCTGGCCCCAGTTGTCCCACTACTTAGCTGTCTGATCTTGGACAAGATCCTTATGGTTTCTACTTTCTCAGTTGTAAACCAAAAGGTTGATGTATGAGTTGATTGAAAAAAAAGTATGTGAAAATTCTTTGAAAGAGTATAAAGCACTATCAAAATTCCAAACTCCTTTGGGTCATTATCCTTATTACTGCAGTGGTGTTCTGGGCATGAGAAAATGCTTTTCATTTTTTATGTTTTCCATCGTTCCAAACAAAGAAGGCTACAAAGGACACTTTCCCATAGTCTTCTGTATGAATTCCTTTGGGGAAGTGAGGCCAGTTCAGTGGTCTGTTCTTGAAGCACCAGCCAAAAGTACTCCAAGATACAGACACTCAGGGGCCACCAGGCCACGGGGAGAAGGGAGTTCTCAAATGTCCCATTGACGTTCTGGCAATTGTTGGGTTTCTCTTATCAGACTTGGCCCTTTCCC